ACATCAAAAGGAACTTTGCAGGTGTGCTTAAATTAAGGATCTTAAGATAAGGAAATTATCCTGGACTAACTGGGTGGGCCCTAAATGTAACTACACCTATCCTTATAAGATGGAGGCAAAGGAAGATTAAACTTCAGAAGACAGAGAAGACCATGGACAACAATGGAAGCAAAGAGATTTAGAGCTGCCTTGTTACTGACTTTGAAGATGAAGGAAAGAGCCATCAGACAAGAAATTAAAAGAATATGTCTCATAAACTGAAAAACACAAGGAAACAAATTCTCTTCTACAGCCTCCAGAAGGAACCAGACCCACCAACACATTGATTTTTTTATTTTAGTTCAATGAAATTGACTTTAGATTTGTAGCCTCTAGAACTATGAGGATAAATGTGTGATTTTTAAAACACCAAGTTTGCCCTGGCTGGTTTTGCTCAGTGGTTAGAGCATTGACCCACAGACCAAAGAGTCTCGGGTTCGATTCTGGTCAAGGGCATGTACCTTGGTTATGGTTCGGTCTCTGGCCCTGGTCGGGGTCGTGCGGGAGGCAGCCAATCGATATGTCTCTCTTGCATCCATATTCCTCTCTCTTTCTCTCTCCCTCTCTATCTCCCCCTCCCACTCTATCTGAAGGTAAATGGAAAAATAACCTCAGGTGAGGATTATAAATAAATAAATACCACCAAGTTTGTGACAATTTGCTACAGCAGCCATAGGAAACTAATAATACCTCCTCCAGTAAATAATCATACAATCAATCAGAATATATTATCTCCAAGCTGCATACAGTGTTTAGTTAAGAGATGATCACATGGCCCATGACTGTTCAATCAGAGAATTCCCCAGGACTCCTGTAACAGAAAAAACAGTCTTTCTCAAGGATCCAAGGGATTAGGAAATTGTTGACTTTGATTGCCAGTAAATCCCATCTTGTTGCCACAGGAAGATGACCAGCTAAACAGTAGCAAGAAGAGCTGAGAAATGGAGAGAGTTCTGTCGACATTTGAGGCCCTGAAGCTAGAGCCACCTTTTGAGCTTCCTCTTGTAGGAGTCCGTCATTCCTACCTTTAATTTATCTATATTGAATGTGTTTCTATGATTTGTAACCCAAAGAGACCTGACCTCATAACTGGTATCCATACTCTTCAATCTCTGAAAACAATTGAGAACAAAAGTGGCAGAAGTAAGCTTTACGATCTCAGCTGGTTTCTTTGTGTTCTTCTAAGGAATCTCCAATGCTGGAGCCCTAAACAGAAAGCCTTTGGCTAAGACACTCCAAATAACATTTAATTTTAATCAGCACTATTTAAACACTTAGTTTAACCAGTACTGAGAAAGGCATGGGTCATAATAATGGGATATCTCAACATTTTTTAAAGAAAAACCATTGACCCAAATACAATGCTCAATAATTCTGAATCCGTGACGTAAAGATTATAAAAGAATATTTAGATGCTTAATTGCTGAATAAATGAACTACAAACATTCATTTTGTTACTTGAAGAGTTCTTTAATATGTAATGGGGGAAACATTTTATCAAATGCAAGTGATAAATGCTAGTTTCCCTTTCTTAAACAAATTGATTCTTGAAACCATTAACCATCAGTTAAATGTAACTCTACTTTTTAAATTTATGTTTCCCTTTTAATTGTTTTTCACTAATGAAAGAAAATATATTTATCCAGAAGATAGAGCAATATAGTGGAAGGAGCATGGGGTAGAGAGGAATTTAAAGTCAGAAGCCTTGGTTTTTAATCCCAACTCTGTAAATTACTAGTTCTGGGACCTTGGGCAAGTCACTTAACTTAACTGACTTTCAGGTGTAGCATATGACTACTACAAGGAATCTCTCGCCCACCTCAGGAGTTGTAGTGGTAAACACCTTTTAGGGCAATATCTCTCCGCCTTTACTGTGCACAGCAATTCCCTGGAGTATTTCTATTTTGCTAGAATTTTGCAGATTCTTGTTAGGTTTGGAGTGGGACCCGAGATCTGCATTTCTTTCTTTTTTTTTTTTTTTATGACTTTTTATTTATTTTTTTTGTTACAGATATTTTACCTTTTTACCCCATTGGCACCCCCCACCCCACCCCACCTCCACCCTGTCCCCGGCTTAGTTGTCCATGTCCATTGGTCAGGCATACATGCATATAAGTTCTATGGTTTATCTCTTCCCACCCCCCACCCCCCGCACCCCCTCTTCTGAGGGATGTCAGTCTGTGCCCTACTTCCATGTTTCTGGGTCTACTATATTCCTCAGACTGTTATGTTCATTATATTCCGTATATAAGTGAGATCATGTGGTATTTGTCTTTTTCTGCTTGGCTTCTTTCACTCAGGATAATACTTTCCAGGTCCCTCCATGTCGTCTCAAAGGATAAGAGATCTTTCTTTCTTACCGCTGCATAGTACTCCATTGTGTATATGTACCATAGCTTTTTTATCCATTCATCTACTGGTGGACACTTGGGCTGTTTCCAGATCTTAGCTATTGTAAATAGTGAGATCTGCATTTCTAATAAGCTCCCAGGTGATGTTGATGTTTGCTGCTTCATACTTTTGTGTGAAGTTTTCGGGTGTCTTCTGGGCTCTCAATGATTTCCCTTCTCTAGAAACAGCCTCAGTTTATGGTGGTGGGCCATTAACAGCTATTCTTGTATCCCCTTGCCATAGGTGACTTTTTTACCTAACCTGAACCAGAAGAAGGTCTCACCTGCAAATCTGGTTTTGAACAGAGATAACCAGAGATGTGAAATTTAATCACTCATTCATTCAGTAATTCTTTTAAATTCTCTCTATGTCAGACACTGTGATAGGACTGGAAATGTACTAATCAGTCAAGCAAGTCTCCACCCTCACAGAGTTTTCACTCTAGTAACATACAAGGTAATTTCAGATGGGCTGAGTGTTGTGAAGGGATTGGAGAATTTCAAGGTTTTCAGAAGACCTGGTTTAAACGGGGATGTTGAGAAAGCCAAGCTCTTCTCTTTCTGCAGGAACTTTGGAGGATGCAGGTTGAAGACAACGGCATAACAAAGGAAAGAAGGCTGGATCCCTGTGTGACTGAGTGGAGGAGAGCTATTCTCCCCACTGTCCCCTTCCCTGCAGACTGAACTGAACTATGACAAGTGAGAAATGAACTTTTATTACAATAAACCACTGAGATTTCAGGGTTTATCTATTACAGAAGCTGGCACTGTTTGCTATAAATACATACATTGCTCAGCTCTTTCTGAGTTTCGAAAAATTGCTTTTTTTTTTTTTTTTTTACTTAAGCTAGCTAGAGCTACTCTCTGCTACTTGGAACCCAAAGAACCATAACGAACTTCAAGATAAATGAGGATTTGGGGGAAATCCAAGCTCTTGCTTCTTTTCTGCAGAAACCCTGGTGGCCACATGTTGAATTTCTGTGAGAATCCAATGAGCCAATAGGTGTGAGAGTACTTGTAAAATCTAAAGTATACACCTGTGAGGAATTCTGACTATAAATTGATTTTTATGCAATGTACCCTTTGTCTAGACATATTAATAGGAGAAAGAAACTAAATAAGCATTGCCGTATAAAGTGACACTGAGGTCAGTTTCTTTCTCTGGTCATTTCTATCTTTGATTTCTTATTCAGACCTTTACAAAAATCAACTTCACTAAATTGCAGCAGAAACAAAGAAAGTAATTATAAAGTTTGTAATTTTTTTTTTTAAACATAAGTGCTTAGATTTTAAAAGAATCCTTGGTGGCACAAGAATATTAACATTTAAATTTGCCACACTTATTCTCATGCGCTATCAACATGCAATAGATCTGGGCATCCCTGGGAGGATCTGAAATCCCCAAGGGACGTTTGTGTTGTGTACTACGTCCTCCGAGGAGTCTTCTTCTTTGACTATTGGTCTCAAGAGTATGTAGCTGGTCTCCCAACCCTCTCCCTAGCCTTGTCTTCCCCTGTTCTAATTTTTGTGCACCCTGGGAAGCCAGAGCTAAGCTATTTCTTGATACAATCACATTTCAGTCTCCTAAGATTTATGGCTGAATCACAGTTGAGGACAAGATTAGAGAGGCCAATGCTGGGGACTTAGCTGTCTTCACTTGGCCTTCATTAATTTTTATTTTGAGATTGTCCTTTTTACTTTGTGTTCTTAATGGAAGCAGCAGTAAATGACATTCTTCCTATGAGTCTCTCTGAGTCTGAATGCAGCAAGAACAGCATATGAAGTCAAAATCTCCATCCCTTGAGCCACCAAAATGAAATCCTCCCAGCAACTTTCAAGCAAATCATCACACCGAGCCTGAAACTTTCCATAGAACCAGAATCCTGCTGAGGAGACAAACGATGGGCCTCTCAACAAGACCTCTGACTGAGAATGACGATCTTCCTTCTTACGTGGCCTTTTTAAGTCTTTGTTTCCTTCCGCAACAAAAGTTAGCCTTGGCCTTATTGCCTGCTCAGTGGCCAGAAGTGCCACTGGAAAAAATGTAGCGAAAATCCGAAACACAAGAACACAGATGGGTACACATAAATGGGGAAACTCAGAGATAAATAGAAACTTTAAAAGATACAGAGAGACTTTCAAACATTTAGGAGTCTCATGAAGCCTCATCCATCATCCATCCGTCCGTCCGTCCATCCACCCTCCACCCATCTGTGCATCTAAGTAATACTGATTGAGCCGAGCCCCTCCTATTTATCGGGCACTGTGCTCGGCCGGAGGAGGGGTGTACACGGAGTTGGAGATGGAAGTCTAAAGGCAGAAATTGGAGGTGGGAATAGCCGTAGACGTGACTCTGTAAGAGCTCCCACGAAATGTAGGGGCCGGGCACGGGGCGGGGAGGATTCATGGAGAGAACCTGCCGCCCCAGCACAGGTGAGGGTGGACAAGAACATGCACATCATAGAGATGCCCAGACCTCCGGGCTTCCTAGAGAGGCCCGGAAGTGGTTCTAGGAGGCCGGTCAGAAGGCTTGGGAGCCGCCGGGGTGGGCTGGCCCATCAGGTGTGCCCTCCCCGGTCTCCCGTGGTTCGCTGCCGCGGCGTCGTGTACCGTCGCTGTGAGTGGGCCGGGGTCGAGAGGGCCGTCCCTGCGCGGAGACGCAGGCCGAGCTGGCGGGAGTTTCGCGGCTCCAATGCGCGCGCGGGGCCGCCGAGGGCGACGCCGGCTGTACCCGGGCGGCTGGCAGCCCAGGTGGACGAGCCAGGGCAGGGCGCAGGCAGCGCGGTGGGGAGCCGCGCCGCCGCGGCTGGCGGGGAAGTCCTCGCCGTTTAGTCTAGGATTCCCAGGAGCCGGGCTCAGCGTGGCTCTCTGAAACGCTGGCTAGCCGCAGTTCTTTTTTCCCCCTTGATTTTTAAAACATCGGGCCCCAAGCTCAGAGCTCTCAACGGGCGGCAGTCTCTAGCTAGACTTGATTCCCATCTTTTGTTTTCATCTCACTCTGGAGGGAAGGGTTACCCTTTCTTTGTGTCAGATGGTAGTGGTTTCCCATTTAAAGTGGCAGTGTCAGGGTTCCATTTTAAACGGCTGCATTTCTTGTAAAACGGTTAGTAGATTTGAATATAAAACATAATAGGTAAGTCCTAGTACCAGCGGTACCAGGTGAACGACACCGCATTGCCCCACCCCAGGCCCTGGATCCAGCCCAGTCCCTTGTGACATGCATTTGTGGGCCAGTTTCTTTTCTTTGTTTTAGATTTTTTTCTTCTTCCAGCTTTATTGAGATATAATTGCCATATACCATTGTGTAATTTTAAGCTGTACAATGTGATGATTTGATACACGCATATATTGTGAAATGATAAACACAATAAGGTTAACAGCTGCATCACCCCACCTACTTAGAATTTGTGTGTGTGGTAAGAAGTTTAAAAATAACATTTAACCCTGGCCAGTTTGGCTCAGAGGTTAGATTCTGGACCTAGAGTATAGGTCCAGACAGGTAAGTGGACAGAATATCATGAGGCAAGTACAAAGATAAGTGGGCTATAAGCGCCTGCTCTGGGGGAAGGAGGAAATTGGGCTTCCTCGACCTTGACGTCTGAGCCAGATTAGAAGGATGAGTAGGAATTACCTAAAATTTACATAGCTTTCTTCTCTTTCCAGCTGATTTTTCCCAATGTCAATGCTGTTGCTGCTGCATAGGACTTCAGTAAATGTCAGTCACATTTCAGGGTGTTAGTACAAGCAGAGAAGCTAGAGCAGTTACCAGAGAACATGGCAATCAAAATAGTTGCTAAAAATTCAAAGTTTCGGCAGTTCTATTCCTGTTAAGGTTTAAGGGCATGTACTTGGGTTGTGGTTTGTCCCCAGCCCTGGTCAGGGTCTCGAGAGGCAGCCAGTCAATGTCTCTCTCATATCAGTGTTTCTCTCTCTCTCTTTCTCCTCCTCCCTCACTCCCACTCTGTCTGAAGATAAATAAAAAAAAATCCTATGGTGAGGATTAAAAAAAAAAAACGTTAAAATGTTTTTTGGCAACTTTAAATCATATAGTACTGTTCACTTTAATCACCATGCTGAATATTAGCGCTCCAGAACTTATTCTGTTTATGTAACCGAAAGTTTGTACCTTTGACCAACATCTCATACCCTCATTCCCTCCACCCAACCCCCCAGCCCTGGTAACCTTTATTCTACTATTTCTATGAGTTCAATTTTTTAGATTCCACATATAAGTGCTATATAGTATTTGTCTTACTATGTCTGACTTATTTCACTTAGCATAATGCCATCAAATTCTGTTTGTGTTATCACAAATGGCAGGATTTCCTTTTTTATTGCTGAATAATATTCTATTGTGTGTTTTTTTTTCTTGTTGTTGTTGTTGTTGTTGTTGTTTTCCATTGAGGCATTTTATTTGCACATGTGTATTACATCCCTAAAAAAAGAATCCCAGAATTTTCCCTCCTGTGTGTTTTCGTCTTGCTGCTTCATGGTCTATGATGCCCGCTGAGGTTGTCAGTACAGTGAAACCAAACTGACGGGATGGAAGCAGGTTGTTCTGCCATTTTTCTAGATCTTTGAGTTGCACATTAAATCTGGGGCTGATTACTCCACACTTGTTCGATCAGCCTGTGAGGTTCACAACAATTTTCCCAGGTCTGTGGTCACCAATAATTTCAAATTCGCCAATGTAACCATGCTTCATCATCACAGTTAGAAACCAGACGATGACTTTGGAGCACGGCCTAGTAAGAACCTGGCGTTTGCCTCTCTTTTCAGCATTGTTGATACTCTTCAGAGCATCAGCCAGGACATTCATGAGCACCATTATGGTGGCACGGAAAGGTGGCGGAAAAAAATCTGTTGTGTGTTTTTGTTTATCCATTCATCTGTTGATGGACACTTAGGGACATTTAGGTGTTTCCATGTCTTAGCTATTGTGAATAATGCTGCAGTGAATATGGAGATACAAATACCTTTTTTAAGGTAGTGATTTCAGCCCTGGCCGGTTTGGCTCAGTGGTTGGAGCATCAGCCTGTGGACCAGAGAGTCCTGGGTTTGGTTCCCGCTAGGGGTGTTGTGGCACGAAAGAACTGAGAGACCACCAGAGCCAAATTAAAGCCAAAAAGAGAGCAAAACTAGCCAGCGACTGATCCCGAGTTCTTGGAGATCAGCCCTGGGGCCTCCAAATGTTGTGGTGTGACAGGGTCAAAGAAAGACCACTAGAGAATTGAAGTCCAGATAAGAGCCGTTTATTAGCCGGCCTGCATCTGATTCCGAACACCCCTGTGACAGAGTCTTCGGAATCAACCCCGATATGCTTTATTACATGCTTTTTATACCTTTCAGCAAAAGTTTAATGATATTAGAAAATAGGATCTTCTTGATATAATGCCCAGGGCTACAACAATGCTGTATAGAATTAGTTTGCCTCATAAATAACAGAAACATCCAGGCACACTCAGGTTTTCAAGGTACATTGGGTCACTCTTAGCCACGAGCTGCACAAACACAATGCAAGCCTAATTCCTTGAGATTGTGGAGGGAGGTCGGATCTCTGACTCAAGACCTCCAGGCTCTGTGGACTCTGTCAGATATGGCTCCCAACAATTTCTTCTTTACAAAACAGGTTCAGCTAGAGAGCACACAGTGACTTTCCCAATCATCAATTATGGAGCTATAAACAAGTTAGCATAATAATTTACCAATCATCAATTATGGGGTTATGAACATGTCAGCACAGGGGCATGTACCAAAAAAAAGATAGCGATTTTATTTACTTACTTCAGATATATGTATGGGCAAGTTTCTTAGCCTTCAAGCCTTTATCCTCATATCTGAAAAGCTGATGATAATACTAAAAACTACCTCAGAAGGTTGTTCCTGAGGCTTCAGTGGTGAATCTTGAAAGCCCCTAGCCCATACAAAATAATAAATGTAGCTTTATTTTCATTTTAGCAAGGAGTAAACAGGATCAGAGAGCTTCAGTGACTGCCCAGAGTCACACAGGGAATTGGTGGGAAGCCAAGTCTGGAACCAACGTTTGCCAGTTTTCGACCTAGGAAGCTTAACCCAGTCTCCCCATTACTTTTGTCTCATGAGAGGGGATGGGGCACCTCCTCCCTGACCCTCCAGGAAACGGAGGGGCCCCTTTGAGGTTGCAGAATATATTAGCTGTGAAAGCCCCCACAGGACTCAAGTCAATAAATTTGGGATTAACAAACTACTACTCATCATCAGGAGAAATAGTTCATGGAAAGGGCTTAGTACAATGCCTGGCACTCAGTAGGTGCTTAATAAATGGCTGCTGCCCTTAATAAATGGTTAGAGCTGTGGCCCGCACACCAAAGGGTCTTGGGTTTGATTCCTGGTCAAGGGCATGTACCTGGGTTGCAGGCAACCAGTTAATGTGTCTCTCTCAAATCAGTCTCTCTCTCTCTCTCTCTCTCTTTCTCTCTCTCTCTCTCACACACACACACACACACACACACACACCTCCCTCTCTCCCTTCTACTCTCTAAAAAAAAAATCAATGGAAAAAATATTCTCGGGTGAGGATTAACAATAACAAAAAAAGAAAGCAGCCTTCAGCTCTCCTCTCTGTTCCATACTCTAGTGGCACCTAGATTTGTATATTGCATTATAATACCAGAGGGTTAGTAATATCATCTTGAACTCATGGGATGAAGGAACTGTGCATAATCTAAGGTTCTTATTACTGATCCTTAGCATTTAATTAGGTCTTTGTAAATCTGAAGCACTGGTAGTCATTTTTATGAGTTTCTTCTCATAACTTCCCTGTGAGATGTCAACTTGATTACCCTCACTTTATCTTTGCATTATCAGGAGGTCAGGCAGGTTTTAAATTTCATTTTTTCCTGTTTGTAATTTAGATTCCTTTTTCTTGATCATGTATTTAATTGTAACCTGTATCCACTGAAATGACTGCTCAGGTCAGATGCGACCCTTCCCCACCACCCAGAGGAAAGCAATTACTGAACACAGCCACGTTTTTGGAAGAGCCCTAAAGTAATTGCAATTATAAATGCCAGTCTGAGTGCCCAGCCCCTAGAAGGAATTAGATGGAAACGAATTAATAAAACAGAAGCCATAAAGCATATAAAAAGCAGGCAGCTGAAGAAACCTGTGTTTACTGGGTTTTGTTTTGTTTTTATCCTTTCTGGCTTAGTGCTTATGGGAATCACTTGTGGTTTGCTGCAAAATGTGTTTGCTGCAGCTTCTCTGTGCTGATTGATGTAGGGAGCCAGCAAGGGAGAACATGGCCCCTGGGTGGCACCATTAAAGCTGGTAGTCTACTGTCTGGAAAGGTTTTACTGACCTGGTGGAGAGGCTTCTTTTCATTGCTGTTTGTCCTGCTATCGCATTAATTTGTCCTTACTCATTGCCGCCTTTCTCTCCTGACCCTCCTGATCAGGTCAGTTATATAAGGCCTTGCCTCAGATCTTTCTGGAATTAGTTGGAAGGTAGTGAGAAGTAGCATGAGTAGACCTGGCAGGTCCTCTGAAGCATTAATAACTTGAATTTTGTACATCCCCAGCATAATTAATGTGCACATGAGCCAAGGTTGACCGTGTGGTCTTGGAACTGGCCTGGAATGTGCATTTTTAAAAACAGAATAATTAGAGATTAAGAAGACTTTCAGTTGGAATTTTCTTAATTGGACTCTGAGGCCTTGTCCATTTTTGGAATCCTTTACAGTGGAATTCTTGCAGAGAGATTAAGATTATTTTAAACTTTGTTATCTGGCATCCTATTAATCAAAACTCGGTCAACCCGACAGAACATTTCTGAGAACCTGTGTGTGCTTTTCCAGTTAGTGACAACACCTTCCTCGAACTTCACCTGCACACTGCCTGCTGCCGCCTCGCTCATGCCAAGCACACTGGCCAGTTGTCCTCGCCCACAGCCCTCTAGCCCAGATCCTCATCACTCCTCTAGGGCCCTTCCTCCTGCAGGGACATCTTGATCTTTCACAAGCCAGGTCTGGAAACCAAAAAAGGCTTTCTGTTGTCTGCAGAAGAATAGAATTCAAACTCCCCAAAGGGGGCTCAAAGCTGTCTTCAAGCTAACCCCAGGCTGCCTTTGACCCCAGTTCACTGGCTGCACACTTTGGCTTCCATTTGCACACCAGCCACCACAGACTTGCCACTTTAGTTGCCCAACATCAGCCTTCCCTGCCCCTCTTCCATTCATTAATGATGCTCCCTCAGCCTGTAGTAACCCTCTGCCTCAGCTCAGCCTGCATCAGCCATCCCTTTGTCCCAGTTCAACTCAAATGCTCACTCTCTGATGAAGTCTTTGCTGATCTGACCTTCAGAATCAGTTTCTCTCCCCACCCCACCCCAGTGCTCCTACAGCACCTTGTTTACACCAACATTATCACAGTAGTCTTGTTTTCTCTTTTTTGCCTTGTACTGTAGATATTTTCAAAAGCCTCTCTCCTTCATGTAAGCTCCAGGATGCAAGAAATCTGTCTCAGTTAGCTTTATGTTGTTTTCATACCAGAGCTTTATGGGAGATAAATCAAGTTAAAATGACAGCGTTAATTGGCATATGTAACAATGACTCTGAGACACTGCAGGGCCCTGCATAATTTATGCTCAGTATAATTTTATAGACTGGATGGATTTCACAATTCAAAATCATCCAGAAACTCAACAAAAACTTGTTGAACATTGACCATGTTCTAGGTTCTGGTGGGTACATGCTAGTGAAAAAGGCCAGTGGACTTCAGTTCTCATGGCACTTACATTCTACTGGAAGGAGATCAATAGTTTAAAAAAACAAACTGCCCACCTGGTGTGGCTCAGTGGATTGAGTGTCCTCCCATGGATTGAGAGGCCCGGTTCGATTCCTGGTCAGGGCACATGCCCAGGTTGTAGGCTCGATCCTCAGTAGGGGGCATGCAGAGGCAGTCGATCAATGTTTCTCTCTTACATTGATGTTTCTATCTCTCTTTCCCTTCCTTTCTCTCTAAAAAATCAATAAAAACATATTATATATATATATATATATATATATATATATATATATAACAAATTATTTTAGTTGGTGCAATGGGCCATGAAGACAACAAACGGCATTTCTAGTCTTTTAGACAGGGTGACCAGAGAGCCTCTCTGAGTTGAGTGCATGACACTTGAACAGACGTAAGTACTGAGAAAGATGCAGCCAGACAGTGGCACGAAGCTGAAACAGGAAGTGGGCCTCAAGGCACAGATGAGCTTGGCATCTTTAAGGAAAGGAAAGAAAGCCCAGGTTGTTGGAGGATAGAGTACTAATGGCAAAAGAGTGTGAGGTGGAGTCAGAGAGGGAGATTGCCCAGGTCACTCAGGTGAAGGTAAAAAGTCTGGTTTGAAAGGTCAGTGACTGACCACTACGTACTGTGTTTTGAAACAGCTTTTGTAACAAAGCCATGTGATTATGTTACATACTAGAATTGACTACCTTCAGCTTTATGGCCACTCCAAATCCAAAAGGGAGTGCTGTGCACTCAGAAGACAACAGAATCATAAGGTCATTGTTAGGTAAGTTAAAGGAATGCCAGTGCATTCATTTTTGTGACTTTTCTTGTAAGCACGGCTGTGGCAATTGCTTAGTCAAACCTTTGGAATCTGTCAGCCATCCTCCACACCATCTTGCTCAGTTTTTCTAATACTTCTCACCCTTCTCTTCTGCATTCCCTCAAGCCATTGAGACAGTCACTTGCTGAATCTTGTCTTCAGATGTCATAACAACTGAGTTCTGCATGAAAGATCTGATTAGCTTTCCTGGCAATCTGATCCAGGTAATACGCTTATTCAGAAGAACTTGTGCTTCTTTGTTGTTGTTCAGATAGAGTGTGAGGGAGAGACAGAGAGAGAGAAACATCAACGTGGAAGGGACATCGAGTAGCTGCCACCCGCACGACCCAACCAGGGCTGGGGACAAACCGCAACCGAGGTATATGCCCTTAGCGGGAACTGAACCTGGGTCTCTCAGGACCCCAGGCCAACGCTCTAACTGCTGAGCCAAACCGGCCAGGGCGAAGAACTTGTACTTTTAAGAGATCTAATCATGCTATGGAGGGGTGTAATAGAATAATTAAATCGCCGGCTGATTTGGCTCAGCGGTTGGAGCGACGGCCTGCAGACCAATGAGTCGCAGGTTCAATTCCAGTCAAGGGCGCATGCCTTGGTTGCGGTTTATCCCCGGCCCTGTTGGGTTGTGCAGGAGGCAGCCAGTCGGTGTAGCTCTATCGCATCGATGTTTCTCTCTGTGTCTCTCTCTCCCTCCCTCCCACTCTATCTGATAATAAGTAGAAAATATCTTAAGATGAGGAATTAAAAAAAAAGAAGAAGAAGAATCAAATCCCCAAACTCTAGAGCTTGAAGAAAAGGACATTTGAGAATGACATCCATGGACCATCCATATGATGTCAGGCATTTTGCTGGGCATTTTTTACACAGTGTCCCATTAAGTCTTCATAAGCCTGTGAGCTTATTATCAGTTCCACTTTTTAAATGCAGCAGCAAGCTCAAAGGGACCAACTTGTTCAAGTGGTAGGGTTCTTGGTTGCTTGCAGTCTCCTGCCTAACCACACCTCTGAGTGTAACAGTGGGGAATTGTAACCCACCCCACCATTCTCTTGACATTTTTCTGTAAATCCTGACTCAGACTAATATGTAGCTGGTAGAGAAACAGCATATTTGTATAAGAATCCTAGGAACTAACTTCAGAAGATACAGACTCTGACCTTGTCACCCCAGTTCGGGGAAATTTGCCGATCTTCAAACATAGAACTAGGATGATGAAGACCAGGATGACCAGTTTCAAGATCCATATTAGAATGGACTGTGCTGACCTGCACGGAGAGAACAATTCAACCCCTCCCCTTGATTCCTTTGTTCTGCTTTCCCTCTCCCTCCTTATAAAATCCTCTGCTGCACTGAGGTGTTTTCACCAGCATCTGTCTAACAAGTTTGGTTTTTGTTGTAGCAGGCAGCAGAACTTGGGTTCCAGTTACATGAGCGTCTCTAATGACTGGAGTGAGAGTGTGTGTGTGTATTCCCAGTGTACCTGAGGCCTTGCATGCCTCCTGCCTGTTCCATTTCTTCTTAAGTGGAAAGAGTTGAGTCGCCCACTTTTTGTTTATTCTCTCTTGTTCTTGACAGAATGGGACCTTGGAACCTTGAGGAAATATTATAGATATCTTTTATAAGCTATAATTTATAATATATTATTCTTATTATTTTGGCATAGACCAGGAGGAAGGGAGAATTGAGACGAACCCCCCCCCCCCATAGGTATTGAGCACATACAGTATTTATAAGATGTCCTGGGATGGGGAGAGAAATGTGGTATGCTATATAAAATAAATGTTTGTGCCCCTCCCCCCTTTTTAATATAGGGTTAGTCCTGGCCAGGTGGCTCAGTTGGTTGGAGTATCATCCTGTATACCAAAAATGTTGCAGGTTCTATTCCCGGTTAGGGCACATACCAAGGTTGCGGGTTTGATCCCTGTTTGGGGCATGTACGGGAGGCAACCGATCAATATTTCTCTCATGTCAGTGTTTCTCTTTCAAATCAATAAACATATCCTCGGGTGAGGATTGAAAAAAAGCAATTAAATATAGGGTTAATAAAATGCCAGTATTAAAACAAACCATGCTGCAAGTGTGCCACATCATTGTTTCTGTTTTTGTTTTTATCCTCACCTGAGGACATTTTTTTTGCATTTATCTTCAGATAGAGCGGGAGGGAGAGCTAGGGGGAGAGAGAGAGAGAAACATCGATGCGAGAGAGACACATTGAGTGGCTTCCACCCACACAACCCCAACCAGACGGGGACTAACTGCAACCAAGTTACATGCCCTTAGCGGGAACCGAACCTGGGACTCTTTGGTCCACAGGTTGACACTCTAACTGCTGAGCCAAACCAGCCAGGGTAAGTGTGCTATTTTAAATAAAAGATGTTGGGAATTGGCTTTTGAGTTCTGTTCTTGATTGTTCTGGTACATGGGAGAAAATGGTTCTCCCTACCAAACTTGAATGAATGCTTTTTAAAAAGGCTCTAACTTTTTCCAAGGATTAAGAATAATGCCTTACATTTGGAGAGTGTTTTGTGGCATCCAAAGCTCTCCCAGGTAAATTATCTTATTGAACCTCCACATTGACCTTGTCAGGCAGGCAGGGCAGATATTTCTCTCCGCCTACTACATAAGACGAAATTTGAAGCCCAAGAAGTGGAAGGGAAGAGGAGTTGGCTAACTTCACACAGCCATGACTAGAACCTAGGTTTTAGCTTTTCTTTCTACTGGAGCATTCTTTTTGTTTTTGTTAACCCCACATTAGGGACAATCGTGTTTGCATTTGGATCAGTAAGAGTGGTGCTTACTTTTTTTCTTACAGGTCCGGTTTTCTTTTGACTGCCACATATGGACTCCCGAAAATCTCCTAAGGAAACTGTCCTCATTACAGGAGGAGGCGGCTATTTGGGTTTCCGGTCAGTGCGTCTGTGAAATATGTCCATGAATTCTTTTACTGGTACTTGCTGAAAAAAGTATAGCCTTCAGCTCTGACATTAACACAGTATATACTTTTACTTGTCTGTATAGTGTCAAGCCACGAATGAACTATTTTGCCCACTGTTCAGATACTGAAATCAAGAGCTAAAGATTATATAGTCCATGTTAAGAAAAAAATCTTTATAAAGCTATTAGATTGTGGAAGGGAGATGTTCATATCACCAAAAAAATTTTAAATAATAGTAGTTCTTTCAGTTATCATTCAGAAATATTCCCAAGAGTGGATGAACACGGGGAAAAAAATGTAACATGTAGATGCAACCATCTCATTGTAATTTAAGTAGATGTGAGTATTCTCATTTTTTAAATTTTTGCATAAGACTTACCCCAATGCCCGGCTGGTGTGGCTCAGTGGTTGAGTGTCAACCCATGCACCAAGAGGTTGCCAGTTTGATTCCCGGTCAGGGCACATGCCCAGGTTGTGGGCCAAACCCCCAATGGGGGGCATGCAGGAGGCGGCCAGTCGATGCTCTCTGTCATCAATGTTTCTATCTCTCCCTCTCCCTTCCTCTTTCTCTAAAATCAATAAAGAAAAAAAAATTTAAATTTAAAAAAGACTTAACCCAGTGAACATGTCAAGTGAGGGATTCAGGATAAGCCAGGAAGACTTGGTAAATTACTTTACACACTTTTCCTAGGCATAGCTCAGTAGTGATTTGACCTAATTTTTACTCTATCTTCTTTCAGCCTTGGCTGTGCTCTGAACCAGAAGGGAGTCCATGTGATTCTGTTTGACATCAGCAGTCCTGCTCAATCCATTCCAGAAGGAATCAAGTTTATACATGGAGACATTTGTCACCTCGCTGATATAGAGAAAGCCTTCCAGGATGTGGATGTCACCTGTGTGTTCCACATTGCCTCTTACGGTATGTCAGGGCGAGAGCAGCTGAATCGAAGCCTGATCGAAGAAGTCAACATTGGGGGCACAGACAGCGTCATCCAGGCCTGCCGGAGGAGAGGGGTGCCAAGATTAGTTTACACCAGCACTTTCAATGTCGTGTTCGGAGGTCAAGTTATCAGGAATGGAGATGAGTCTCTGCCTTACCTACCTCTTCACCTCCACCCTGATCACTACTCTCGGACCAAATCCATTGCAGAGAAGAAGGTGCTAGAAGCCAATGGTACATCCCTGGAAAAAAGCGATGGTGTCTTAAGAACTTGTGCCCTGAGGTCAGCCGGTATCTATGGGCCTGGAGAACAAAGGCACCTTCCCAGAATAGTGAGCTACATCGAGCGGGGCCTGTTCAAGTTTGTGTATGGGGATCCCAAGAGCCTGGTTGAATTTGTCCATGTGGACAACTTGGTGCAGGCTCACATTCTGGCCTCAGAGGCCCTGAGAGCTGACAAGGGCTACATCGCCTCTGGGCAGCCCTACTTCATCTCAGATGGCCGACCCGTGAACAACTTCGAGTTCTTCCGGCCCTTGGTTGAGGGCCTGGGCTACTCGTTCCCATCCATTCGCCTGCCCTTGACCCTCATCTACTGTTTTGCTTTTCTAACAGAGATGGCCCACTCCATTTTGGGTCAATACTACAACTTCCAGCCCTTCCTCACCCGCACAGAAGTTTACAAAACCGGCGTCACACACTACTTTAGCCTCGAGAAGGCCAGGAAGGAGCTAGGTTACGAGGCCCAGCCATTTGACCTCCAGGAGGTAGTAGAATGGTTTAAAGCCCGTGGTCATGGCAGAAGTCCTGGGAGTCATAACTTTGCGTGTCTTATTTGGGACAGGCTGTTGATCCTACTCTTGGGTATAGCAGTTTCCACATGGCTGACTTCCGTGATTTTGTCACGGTGAAGGAGGACTTATAAATAAGGAGCTGATCACACTTGCCATTCTTGATGGTTTTCAAGAAACACACCTTTTAAAATACAGATGGATAGATACAGATATCTGGTGCCAAATTTTAGCTCTTCAAATTGCTGCGTAAGAATAGATTCTTGGATCAAGTCTTCATGTTTCACTTCCTTAAGCTAATCCTGACGGGAGAGAAAAAGCAGATACATTTGAAAGTTTGTTTTTTTTGGGTGTCCTCCCTCTTTAGATAGGTGCAGTAGTGCACATTTTGGAGCCATGGAGCTAAACTTAGTTCCATTGGAATTACCTGAATTTGTCAGAAGCCAAAACCTACTTATTTCAGTTCCATAAACTGTACATCTACTTAAAGGGACTAAAACGCACGCTGATACAGGAGTTGGCAGGCCACTAACAGGCTTGAACACGTGTGAGAAACACCAAACAGGGCCAGATCCCTGCAGACCTACTCTCCGGGGAGACGGTGGCTGTTGGGGCGGCATTAGCTATTCACAGTGTATGTTTTGGGAATTCGTTTTTGCCCTTTGTGATATAAGCGCAGTACGTCTATGTGACCATGTGCTAATGTCTGATGTTTAAACAAGTAACTGTAGACTTTTATCTGGCCTCATAAGATTCTTTTGAGGATTAAATTAGACATAGCATATAAAGTGCCACTCAACCTACTTAAGTCATTATTTTTAATATTGTTACTGTGCATTTCTTATGCGGGTTTTCTTACTTGGGGTATTCTGTTTAAAAGGTGCTGTTGATAACAAAAATAAATAAATAAATTTTTAAAAATAAAATAAAATAAACAGTGCTGTTGCTACTAACCTTTCTGGAATGCCCTCAGAGTCTAACAAATGTGTGCGAATGTACTCAGTGTTTGTAAACTTTTCGTGTCTGAGGGTAGATGGAAGTTTAAGGAATAGCTTAAAATCTGATGATTTAGGAAGATAATCAAGCTGATGATGCCATTTGTAATTAAAACACAAAGCATAACTAAACTAATAGACTGGTTTCCTTACTGGGAAAAATTTTGGTTCTGTGAAGGCAATTTTCAGTGAGGAATTTCAGTTTTGAACAACGGTGGTTTTGTCTAGCTACCCACGGGGATTGCCTGGGAAGATGTTCAAGTCATACCATTGCATAGGAACCAAAGTGGAAAGAAGACAGAGAATCTTGACCCATTCCATGGTTCCAGCTATAGAAAGGACAGTATTAAAATATTATAGCACCCTGGCCGGTTTGGCTCAGCAGTTAGAGCATTGGCCCACAAACCAAAGGGTCTTGGGTTCGATTCTGGCCAAGGGCACGTACCTTAGTTGCGGTTCATCCCCGGCTCTGGTTGGGGTCATGCTGGAGGCATGTGTCTTTCTCATATCCGTGTTTCTCTATTTCTCTCTTCCTCTCTCCCTCCCTCCCACTCTATCTGAAGATAAATGGAAAAATATTCTTGGGTGAGGATTAAAAAAAAACCCTCATAGATTGCTGTGGAAAAGAATGCTAGCGTTGTCCTGAGAGTGTTTGTAGGAGGAGGATGCTAGATGAACAGCCCCTGGTGAATGCTGCCTGGATGTTTTGAGAAAAGTTCTCAACTTCATACCAGAAGACCTGCAATTATGAAGATTTTGTGTGGCCTTAACCAAGTAACTGAAGCATCTTATGCCTTAGTTCCCTCATTTGTAAAATCGGAATGGATGTATTAGCCCTTTCTATAGACCCACCTACCCACCTTACAGGGTTTGTTGTGAGCATAGAATAAGATGTGGTGAAAATACTATTATTTATGTAAGTTGCAACATAAAGGTGGCAGTAATGGTTTTTGGTAAAATACTTTGGGGATCTTAAAAGATGCTTTTGCTTTTTAGTCCTGGGGTAACCTATATGAGCACCTACAGCATATCTAATGCTCCAGGTGCCATGAGGCAGGTTTCTCTGCCCTTCACAGTCTTACATATGGTGTGTCCATATGAGAAGGTCACTGATAGACCAGATAAGTACAGTAAAACATGTATTCATGGCCATCGAGAGGTATCACAGACTTTCAAAACATGTTTTTAATGAAGTCCTTCAAAAGAACGACAGCTACTTCTCAGTTTTCTCAAGCCAAGTATACCCAGCATAGTGGAGTTTCCCTTGTTTTTGTTTTGTTTTCCACACTCAATAAATCTAAATGAAATTCAGGATCGATATGGGGCCTTTATTGTCATCCACGTAAGAGACACTGGCCATTTCATATTTGACATAGTTGTCCATTCTCTCCTTGAAACATAGTTCATTTACTTTTCATGAAGTCACACTCTTGTGGTCCTTCTCCTTGTATTATCTATTGCTACATAATAAATTACCCCAAGGCATATCATATGATGATATCATCATATCATCAAAGCAACAAACTGCCTCCTGGTTTCTATGGGTCAGGTATCCGGGTACCGCTTAGCTGGGTAACTCTTGCTTAGGGTCGCTCATGAGGTAACCTCATGGTGTTGGCCAGCACTGCAGTCCACTGCCAGCATGGCTTATCCACATGACTGTTGGCAGGAAACCTCAGTTCCACACCATGTGGGCATCTCTATAAGACTGTTTGACATATGTCCTCATGACATAGCAGCTGATTTACCCCAGAGCGGCTGATCCACAAGAGCAAGGTGGAAGCTGTCGTGTCTTTCATGTCTTGTCCTAAAAATCACACTGTCACTCCACAATATACTGGTTACACAGGTCAATACTATTCAATGGGAGGGGGGTGGGTCACCCAGTGGTGTGAGTAGCAGAAGATGGGGAACGTTGGGGGCCACCCTCTGAGTCATCCTTTTCTGGAAAGGCAGCCCATATTTACAGCTACAGAGTTTTCTCATTCTGCTTCCAACCAGTAGAATTTGGATGGAAACACCACTAGATTTTGTGCTGTATCTCTTGCAGTCCAAGCTGGTACTGTCACTGTGAATATAATCATTTTGAACACTTCATGTGTCCCCTATGAGTCTTCTTTACAATGGACTCCAGTAGAAAAAAGCTTCACCCACAGATTTCTTTGGGATAAGTCCTTCTCTGCCCTGTGCTTCTGCTCAGACTTCTGAGGGACAATACCCTGAAGATTCTTATTGTCAGAACAGCTCTCTGAGGCACCACCTTAGATCTCTCCAAGGTCTCAAAAGGTTTTGTATCCACAACCTGGGTCATGCACTGTCATTGCTACACTATATTAGCTACATGGGTTATGTTAGCGCTACTCTATATGGGAGGATACCACACAAGGACATGGATACCAGGGGTGGGAACCATTGGTGGTCACGCTGGAGTCTGCTACCGCACCCCTGCATGGCGTCAGTGTTCATATCTCCTCCACTCCTATTTAAAAGAGGAGATGTCACCCAGCTGTGTGGCTCAGTGATTGAGTGTTGACCCATGCACCAAGAGGTCGCCGGTTCAATTCCCAGTCAGGGCACATGCCCAGGTTGTAGGCCTGACCCCCAGTGGGGGGCATGCGGGAGGAGGCCAATTGATGTTCTCTCTCATCGATATTTCTATCTCTCTCCATCTCCCTTCCTCTCTCTCTAAAAAACAATAAAGAAAAAAAAATTTTAAATGGGAGATTTCATGAGTGCTCAGAGCTAGGTCCTCTTCTAATATACTTTTTCCCTAAGTGATCTTGTCCAAACCCCTGGCTTTAATTTCTACCTCTATTCCAAACATGTAGTACTAAATTTATAGTTCCAGCCGAGACCACTCTTCTGAGCTTCAGCCATCTATCCGATGACCTCTGCATCTTTGCCTGGATATTTTATATATACCTTTCAGTCAACATCCAAAATCAAATTCACACCCCCTCCAAATTCTTTTTCCCTAGTGAATGTCACCATTATCTTTTGAATTTCTCATTTCAGAAATCAAGGATACTCTTTGATCCCTGAGTCCCCTTAACTTGGCACACCTAACCCACCTTTAAACCCATTGATTCTACCTTCTGTTCGTGCTCAAAACTGCCCAGTGTACAGGTGTTACCTCTCTTCCCTACGCTCCAATAATAGCCTCTTTTCTCTTCCACCTACATCCACTCCTGCTGCCCTTTGATCCATTCTCCACATGCCCAGCAGAGTGATGCTATAAAGATGTCATTCTGTCACCTCCCTGTTCAAAACTCTCCACAGTTCAGGTTGAAATCCTTGATGTGACCCAACAGGCTCCGCCTGACCTGGCCTTGCCTACTGCTCCATGCTCACCTCACACCATACTTCTCTGCCCCAACTGCACCTGCTTCTTGCAGGTTTGTGAGTCCCCGGTTCCTCACACCCCCACTACTTTTTTGACTGCATAATGTTTATGTCATGCTTCAGCTCAAGTCTCTTCCGGAGGCCTTCCGTGATCCCAACAAGTAAGGTTTGGTCCTACTACAAGTTCTTACCAGCACCCTCCTTATTTTATTTTTTAAAATCCTCACCCAAGGATACTTTTCTTTTTTTTTAATTAATTACTTTTTTAAACTTATTTATTTATTTTTATTTTTTTAAATCTTTATTGTTGAATGTATTACAGATGTTCCTCATTTTTCCCCCATTGACCCCCTCCTCCCCACTCCCGGCCCCTCCCGCCTTTTCCCACACTATTGTCTGTGTCCATTAGTTATGCATATAAGTTCTTTGGTTTATTTCTTCCCATCCCCCAACCCCCTTCCCTTTGAGGTTTGTCAGTCTAGTAACCAATTTATACTTCTTAATCCCTTCACCTTTTTCACCCATTCCCCCAATCCCCCTCCCATCTGGCAACCAACAAAATGTTCTCTGTGAGAGTGTTTCTGTTCTGCCTGTTCATTTTGTTTGTAGATTCTATTGTCAACAACAGATATGTATTCATTGCCATTTTGTTTGTTCATATAGTTTATCTTTTTCTTCAAAAAGACCCTTCATCATTTCATATAATAACGGTTTGGTGGTGATGAACTCCTTTAACTTTTTCTTGTCTGGGAAACTCTTTATATGGCCATTGATTCTAAATGACA